GAAGTCGGTTTTGACCCAATAGTGAGTGGCGAAGCGGTAATCGCCCGCAAAGCACAGAGCACGCTCGCGCAGCGTTCAATTGAAAAATTGAGCTGCTCGCCAAGCGTGGAGTCCGCTCGCGCAGCGTTCAATTGCAATTGGTTGTTTTTGCTGTTGTTGTTATTCTTGTTGTTGTTGCTGCTGCTGCTGCTGCTTCTGCTGCTGCTGCTGCTGCTGCTGTTGCTGTTGGTGCTGTTGCTGTTGGTGCTATTGCTGTTGGTGGTGTATGGTGGTGTTGGTGTTGCTGATTTTGCTGTTGCTGTTGCTGGTGATGCTGCTGCCGCTGTTGCTTGCGGCAACAGCGCACTGGGCTGCGACGGCCAAGAGTCAGGACCAGCGCGCAACCCAGGCGGTGAGCGCGGTCTGGAAGGGGCGGGGGCGGCCAATGCGTGTGTCGCGCAAGCAGGCGCAGGAGCTGCACTGTCTCAGGGTTGAACCTGCCGACAACGACGAGGCGGCATCGCCGGGCGCGGGCGAGGGGTTGAGGTGGCTCGGGGCGCGCTGCGTCAGTGACAGCGCAGCATAGCGCAGCCCTCGATTGTTTCCAGAACGCAAGGCCATCATTGTGGCCGTTGCAAAGCATTTGTTCTTCCCGATTGAGTACGCTGATGCATGTCCTACCACATTGTCTCAGCTTGATGACGATTGCCAGGAGATTGAATTGATCATTGAAGACGGCTTCAGCGCAGTTCTGCGACGCAACGCTGGTGTCCCGCTCGCCATGCCACGTCTCATGGACGGCATCGCAATCCTGCTTGCGGGCTTTTATATATATGTACCTGCGCTGGATCCGCATCTCTTCAGGACTGCCCCGGGACTGCCCCGCTGGATTTGTTTTTGCCGCCACCACTGTCCTCGCGGAGCCATGTCCGCCTCCCTTTCGCAAGCCGCATGCTTCGCTGTCGCGCCGTCCGGGACTTGCCGGTGTTTGCGCTCCGTTCCTTCGCTGTATGCTCTTTAACGAGCAGCGTGCTGTTCTTGCCCGTCACTAGCAAGCACATGTCGATGGCGAGTTACAGCCCCTGGGGATCCTGGGGGTGTTGAACGCCGGTAGACATTTCTGTGGGCAGTATATTCTGATAAGGGGTTTTGATTCGAGCGGTGCAAGTGACGGGCCTCAACAAAAATCTCGAATTGAGAACACAAATCTTTCGCTCATTCAATGAGTACTGGTTCAAGGAGGTGGACGAGTGAATCCCACATAATCCCACATAGTTCAGCGTGGGCACGTGCAGGTCTGGGGCACCTGTTTGAGACCGGACACAAAAACAATCGTGAACAGGGTGGCTGACATGAATTATATGAATTTATGCATGCGATGAGCGGTGTAATGACGTCGTTGCCTCAGCTTGCGGACGGGATCGCGGGAAGCGCCGCATGTCATCGATGTTCATCTACTGAGGCAAGTCAGGATATGAGTTCGGCAGGTGAGGGAGAAGGTGATGACCCCGACTGGTCCGAGGCGGCGGCAATTACACATATGGCCTGCAAATGGTGAATTCAGAACAAGATTGCTGCTTGACGTATGTAGAGGCCAGCGTTACCCCGAGATCGGAAGAGAACGCACTGGCCGAAGACAACGACGGCGATGCGCTGAGCCTGACTTGGTTTCAATCGGTGTGTGCAGGTTGTTTCCTTGATCCAACACCAGGCAATGATGTCGCCACCGGGATGCCACTGGAGGAGCCAGTGCCATAATCAAAATGATGCGGGGTATTCTTTTTGATGATCCGCAAACAGCTGGCTGATTTCAGGTTGCTTGCTCAACTCGGCGCGTCCATGGCTCAGATACGAGACGAGAGATTGTGCAGGACACTGGCAACTCACTCACTCACACTGCAGCTGCTTCAAGGTGGGGTTCTGCCATGGCAGCAGCCTTAGCTAAAGTATTCGGCCCCTCGTGTGACGACGCGGTGTTCGTGCAGTGTTGGATTTCGATTTCGTGTTTCCAGAGCAGTGTTGAAAAACTGGCGATGCAATCGCTTACCTAGACATCGGATTCACAATGTCTGGCTAGCGCGAGGCAAGATGAGCCGAAGTTGTACTGCAGTATTCACCGTTCCGAGGAAGAGAACCTGCAGCAGAACATGTGGGAAAGCGCTTTGGAAGCCGAAAAAGTGGAGCAGCAACTTCAGGACAGTCAACAGAACAGTGCCAAACATTCAATTTGCACCGACATCGACCAAGCGCCAGGAACGGCCTTTGCCTCCAGATATGTTCTTTGCCGGAGCCTCAATTCAGAAGCAGTGAACCCAGCAGGCGCTTCAGCCAGCAGGCAGGGTCACAACTCAGGAGGTATCGACTCCACACGATTCCGTGCCAATCCTCGATCTGGGAGAGCACGAGGCCACCCTTGTGTGCACGCAAAATCGGCTGGAAGCAGGCTCATGACAAGCAGCTCATGCGCAAGTCTCGGGACTTGCTGACTGCTGACGTTGTGGCTCTTGGGCAAAGATGTTGTTGATGGTATTGGCCGCACCTCAAGCCGCGCTGTCCTCCTATAGATTTACAGCCTGCTAGACACACGCATACTGGATAACTGCATTTTCTTCCGCAGCCCCATCATCCGGCCATGACCGATGCGACAGGGTTCGCACCTGTGTTCTTGCATGTGCAGTAGAAGATCAGCTTGTGCAGAACAAAGAGCCCCGAGGTGGCATTGTGTCGTCACTGAACACTTTGTTGCCGGACCCTTAATTCCTGCCCCCAGAGTTACCATTTGGAGTGGGCGATTGGGCTTTTGCATGCCGAAGTGCCGAAGTTGTTTTTGTGCAGGCAGGCCAAGGCGCCCGTCAACATGTTGAATTCCGAGCACAGACCCGCACTTACAGAAACCGTTTACAGGTTGGGATCGAAGCAAGCAGGGTTACTCCACAGTTTGTTTCTTTCGATTTGGCGGCACGCAGAGCTCTTTTTGCTGAAGACCGCCACTGCTGCAATTTTTCTTGTCCAAAGATTCGACCGAGGTCAAGCACCAATGGAGCACCACCTCAAAGTCTGGTATTTCGTTTCTCCCAGGCACGAGACAACTCAGACTGACGTACGGTCGGCTCGCACGACTGCAGGTGGACCGGCTGCTTGGCCAGCTTGCGCAAATGAGCGAGCTGCGAGCCGCCGGGTTAGAGCCATGCCTCAGGAAGCTTCCATCGCTGGCCACTCGCTTCTGAGGATGTGATGCTGCCCCGTCTCCCGCCAAAGGCCAGCCCCTGGTTGCATGTGTTACACGCGAGCTGTCGATCAAGACAGTACAAGGTCACGATTCGGTCCACTTGGGCTGGCCGTTTTGATGAGACCTTTCTGCAGGCCGCACCGCGTTGGCAAGCTCAAGCTGAAAACTTGCCAGTTGCAAAGTGTCAGGAACGGCAGAGTCTTTTGACGAGTTTTTTCGAAGAGCTCTGCAACATTCTGAACGGAAAATATTCAGCAGCTCGGAGCTTGGCTTGCATACAATGGGAAAATGCTGAGATCTGGGACTATCTAAGATCGGAAACGTTTTGGACCTTTGCGAACCATTGGGCGAGCCCTGGGCCGAGAGAAGACTTCGCTGATTCTGCGGCAGTGCTGATCAGTGCTGATTCGTTCTTCCGTCCAGGTTTGTGGCCAGTGCGGCTTGCGCCTAAACGCTCTTCGGTACATTATACACTTTTATAGCTTGCTCGAACCGAAGCTAGGCAAGAGCAGGGTCCACAGAGGAGCTGGCGGCAGCTTCGGCCTCACATTCCTTTTGCAGTACCGTCATTTCGGTGTTGCTTTTCACCATTACGTACCGGCGCAGCCTCCCTCGCGAAGGTCGCAGCAGTGGAGGCCAGTTGTTCATCCACCCACAGCTTATGCTGCACGCTGCGACTGGAACTGTGGGCACAGCCATAGAAGCCAAGAATCTCCGACGTGGCATTGCAGGCCGCCATCCGCAGGGAAGAAGACCGTCAGATAATTGCGTCGCAGGATGCGGAATATGAGGCCGCTGGTTGACCGGCGGTCGAGTTTTCCAAGCTTCCAGCTGTTACCTTGCGAGGAAAGCTTGCGACAGGATGAGCTTCGTCGAATAGCGCAGGCCGAGAAGGCCGCCTAAACCGTTGCACGTACCGCAGGCTTTGCTGTCCGGGCCAAGGCAGGCACACCTCTTAGTTTTCTAATCTGATGCCGCGAACCCTAAACCCTGCGCGACCCGAAACACGGAAGCGAGTTGACAAGCCGTGGGATAATATGACGATGTGGTAGTGCAGAGACTGCAGGATTTCACTTGTTCAGTACGCGAATGAACCTGCCACGCTGTCGTCGGTCTCAGATCCCTGCACCCCCAAACCGCCCTGAATGCAAAACACCCCTCTAAGTCTCACCCCCTGCCAACTGACAAGCGGCTAGCCGGAGAACCCAGTCAAACCAGGGACGGGAAGTCAAAAAGTCCTCTAGGTTTCGACTTTGCACGCCTGCCAGCGCCTTTCGGTACTTTTGCCAACCCCCCGGAACATAACACCGCCCTAAACCTTTAAGCCGTGTTAAACCTGCACCCCCCCTTAAACCGGTGACTTGAAACGCCTCTGATGTTCAAAACCCTTCAATCCTTAACCCCCGAAGCCATAATCCCTCACCTTTATTACTCACCTTAAACTTTGAACCCGGAAACGACCATTTTCCCTAACCCGGAAACCTGAAACATTTCAAAAAACCTACATGTGTTGATGCGCAACGATATGTAAGCGAGACAAAAAAATGCAAGTGAATCCACACCCCACAATGGCAGGCCGAAAAAGAGAGACTTGTGGCAGAGGAAGAGGCCATGGCATTCCTTCAATCGGTTGGCAGCGATGGGTGCGAAATGAGCAGGCCAGACGGCAAAAAGCTGCTGAGGAAGAGGTTGCGTGTTGCGCAGAGGACCCAGTCGAAATGCACTGGTTGCCTGACGGGAGGCGGCTGCTCTTCTGGAGGAACAAAGGCTTCGGCGAGAGACATTCGACAGGCAGCACCCGCTGCCGGAAGTGCGGCGCTTGGAAGTCCGCTCTCTGTTGGAGTGTTTAAAGAAGCTGGGCCCTTATAGAACCCTTCGAAGCCTTTGCCGATGCCTCTCTCAGGCCGGGATGCCGCAGGCCGCTCGCCAAGACAAAGTGCTCGACGTCTCTTCCGAGTCTCCGCCCCGATCCAAGGCGACCGTGCGATTTCGCGCAGCCAGTGGAGCTACGATCCAGCGTGCTTTTGCTGAAGATACGCAGGCAAAGTGCTGCGATATGCTGCGCTCATGGCGCGACTGTCCCCTGTGTTCGGCAGACTTGAAGGTTTCCGCCTTGTTCGAGTTTGCTGCAGTGGCCGACTGGGATGGCCCAGCCTTGGGCCGGCCGTTTGATCTCAGGATTTCTCTATGAAGGAGAATTTTGAGTGTCTGAAGCAGAATGCCTGCCGCGGCAAGGACTTCTTTCCCGGTGATGAACCTGCAAGGGAAGGAATCGCAGACGCTCAGGCGACACAGACATACAAGACCATAATATGCCTATGCAGACACAGCAGCGAGCTTGCACGGCAAGCCTATCATCAGGGAAGCTGGACTTTGTCCTTCCACAATGCTACTCGTGGCGGAGCATGCCGTGGGCTTACCCACAATGTCGCTCCTGTAGAAGTGGATCGCCACTGGCATGCCACGATGGTGGACCCAGGACGACTGACGCCTGCACGATCGGATGGCCCCCGGCCTCCTCTGTTCGATGTTCCGGTATACAATGAGCACATCCGCGTTTCAATTGAGGTAATTGGTTGCAACGACGTAGGTTCGCAAAATGTTTCACCTTCAGTTTGACCAAGCACCTAGCGCAGTCGTGTGATGTTTTGGTTGCGCACAAGGCTTGAATCAAAAAGTCATAGAGGCAGAGAGACACAGAGCGAGCAGGAGGATGGGCCCTGTCGAAAGAAAGGTTCAAGTGTTGAAACACGGCCGTCCTCATCTTCCATAGCTTTTTCACGCAGCGTTTTTTTAAATTTCCGTCTCTTGACGGAAGACTACAGCTGGACACATAACTTTCACTCGATCCGAAAATCTCTCTGGGACTGTGCGCGCGGAAGGACGCGGAAGGCGTTTCTCCGCGGAAGGGCGCGGAAGAACTACGTAAGCCGCCGTGCCAGAAGAATGCGTCAGTCGAACGAGACTTTGATAATTTGGACCAGCTACCGTCCTGTACTCTTCCAGGGTTCAGGTCTTCTTCCACTGGAAGTCCTGTTCCCTGGAACGCATGTGGCCCGCAATTGCCGAGAGGAGTTTGCGTAATATGTCCAGAGGGGTTTATGCTCTTGCGGAAGGGTTCGCTTGCAAAACAGTCCGCGGAAGGCTTAAGGGACGACATGCAGCGACTCAGAAACGTGCCAACGAGTCGAAGCGCGGAAGGGTTGTGCGGAAGGGGTTTTTGCGTCCTTGGGATCGAAACAGAGCAAAAAACACAGCTCACATGGACAGCGGAGACCAGGGCGCGTTCGCACGCGGGAGGGGTGCTGTGCCTCCTCTTTGGCTGTGTGGAAGAAGAGAGAGAGAGAGAGAGAGAGACAGACAGAGAGAGAGAGAGAGAGGGCACTTGCGCGCCGGCTAGGGGGAAACCCCTGGCCCACAGCCCTGGCGAAAGAAAGAGAGAGAGACAGGGGCCAGCAATTAGGGGGACCATGCAGGTAGAGCTGAGTTCGCTTGCAATAGGGGGTAGAACTACTTTTTGTCCTGATCGCGATGACCTACCTGCCATATCCTCATTCCTGAGGGGGAGGATGCTCTACTGAACCCTCTCCTACAACATCTACGCATAGTAGCCCATACGGGCATGCAGTATGCGCTGTGTCCTTGGTTTACATCAACTCAAAGAGGGTTCAGAAACACTGAGCATCCAGTTTTCCCGACAGTTTGAAGGCAATCGGGGGATTGGACTCATGGGTTTGTTTGGACGGTTACTCCTGGATGGGGGGAGTAGATTGCCTTCAGAAGAACTTTACCAGCTTGAAGTCAGATGACAGTCGAGAGGGGGAGAACTTTTGTGCTGCATTGGGTCTCGATGTCCCGTTTTTAATTTTAGGTTGATGCGTCTGAGACCCTCTCGAGGTGCAGGTGGCAGAAGTTGCCACAGAAAAGTCATCTGTCCAGTTGCTCGCACATAGGTTGATGCTCGCACTAGACTAACCTGTGTGGGGACCAAAACAGGGGGACAACAAAACAATGAACCCTCTTTCATGCTCCTCACGTATGGGAGCTCTGTAGGGCTGGGGTAGACAGTGCTGTGTCATTGTTTTTACAAAGCGATGAGAGGGTTCAGTGTTGTTGCTGTTCCTGGAGTTCGCAGCAGACATGAAAGGCATGGATGTTCCAGAACTCGACAAACTTTCTAAGTTCCTCTTATTGATCATTTTGTTGCTTACACTCAGGGGGACATCCAACAATTAGTCCTTCATGTCAACGGGGGCCTCCGGCACAGTGGAAGAGCTACCCACAAAAAACGGGGACTTCATCCCTCTGCCATCTTGTGGTAATCTGGAGCACTGTACTATCTTCTGCCATTATCTTCACTTGACTTGGCAGGGGGAGAAGAAGTGCAACCTTGTGCATGTGTCAGTGAGAGTACATTGTCATCAAACTTTTCGATATCGTACACTTTAGGCATTAGCCTTCATTGATGACTTGTACTCGCTCGTCACTCCCCGCATACCCGATAAACATTATTGGGTGGGCCGCTTTGGCCCGGGGACGTTGACCCGTCCCCATGCCCTGGAGAGACAGAGAGAGAGAGAGAGAGAGAGAGAGAGAGAGAGGGGCCAGTGTAGCAGTTTGGCTCAAGTCGACCTGCCGCTTCCTTCGGGGGGCGCTCGAGGACGGCCTGGTGGGGGGAGCAATAGTCTTGCCGGGTGGACGATCCTTCGAGCGGGAGAAGGCTTGAGCCCACGCCCGCCGCATTTGCCGTCAAGTGGCCCGTCCCTTGAAGGGCTTTGCGTTCTAGCGGTGCCTCGCCGCAATACGTTCTGACCGGCAAGTTTGAACCTCTACGCGACTTCCAGCTGAGGGTCCTTGAAGGTGACCGCGGGGAGATCGGATCCCCTGGTGAACCGCTGCTGCCCTGAACCTTCTGAACATCCCCAACGGCGAACCCTTCGGCATAGCGAGCCTACTCGTTTCGTACCTGCTCAACACGACCTGGGGAAACAGGTACCTCGGTCCAGGACTACCCGTACGTCAAGTACGTGACAGTGGCAGGGAGGCCGAGAGTAAGAAGTGTAATACATCGTAGGGGAACCTTTCCCTTAGCCATGCCGCGAAGTTCTGATGAAGGGGTGCATCGGTATCCACGCTCGTCCGGTGGTTCCTGGGTGGTCTCAAAGGGGATCATCACCGCTGAATGCTCCTCCGAGGCAGGCGACGCAGACCAGGTCCCGACGAACCAAGGTACCACAACGACCTCGACGTCTTCTACCAGCACCTTCCCCCCCCCTCCCCCCCTAAAGCCAAGGCCGAGAAGGAGGTCAAGCACAAAGGAAAAAGCGTGCGAAGAAGGAGAAGAAGTCGAAGAAGCTGGGGAAAACACCCCCCACCACGAACATTTGTGCCACTCTCGAGGCGGACGATCCCCTACTCGAGTCCATCTCGGAGATCCTTCAGAGTGATGCGACCCAGGGGGAAAAAGCCACTCCTTCTCAAGGCGACTTTGTTGGCCAAGGTGACGATGCAGCACATGTTCCTCAGCTTGGGTCTACCTCGTCCTCTTCCTCATCTACCGGAATCTTTCGGGGCATCTCCCCGATAGAGGCAAGAGCTGCCCGTGCCTTGCCATGGAGCGAGTGGCCAGACGAAGCCAAGATCCTTACACTACGCCGAACTTATATGAGAACGGGGAAAGGAAATCTGGAGTTTGAACCGAAGGTGGAGAGTAAGGATGACAACTTTCCCGACGCCGTGAACAACGAGCCCTACTACCAGGAGACCAACCCCCTGCAGACAACGACCGTGCACTATGCCAACGAGGAGGACCAAGTCGCTGAACTCGAGGACTATGAAGCGCAAGAGACCGCGCAGACATCGGGGGATGCCACCTCAGAGATCGCAATGTCAAGCTCCTCATCTTCGCAGTCTAGGGGACTGCACCCTTTGGTGGACATCTTCGCCGACGAGGACTACATAGCAGGAGCCAGCTCCTCCCTTTTGCCAGAAATGCAGCACGAGGAAGTCAAGGGGGACCCCGATGAAGACGACCAGGACAACTACCAGCACAACGACTACTACGAGGGGGACGAAACTAACCCAGGAGGGGAAACCCTTGTCGACCACCTGAACCTGCTGCACCAGCATCGAGGCTTACCTCGAGGCAAAAACAGAGGCTCCAACAACTCCTGGAGTCCGGCGAGATTTCCCGTACTGACGCGGAGGAAAACGATGCGGCCTTATGGAAGCGGTACCAAGAGAAGAGCAAGCAGGCTTACCGGGACTACAGGAAAAAGCAAAGACGAGTCGGGGAATGGGAACCCGATAAGAAGCGAGGACTGAGTTGAGGCCTGTGAATAAAAGTGAGCGTGGCGCTGAGGGGCGACCCTATAAGTTTGCTTTTCCCTCTTTTGGCCTAATTCGTCCACCTTGTTTGGTATATGCACATGTTTGATTTCTCCGAGCAGATAGGGGATCCAAGACCCTTCTCAACTTTCCTTTACGCCTTGAGCCTAGTGCTCGGTTTGTACCATCAGACGGGCCGCTGAGCCATCCTAGACATCGCACCTTCGCCCCACACGGGCGCCCTGAAGTCATTTCTGCACGCTCCTTAGGGGCGGTTGCCCCTGCATCATTTCGGACGGTTCTTTTTCGGGGTTGTCCCCGCTGATCCAGCCAAGCTTTTGCCTCGTTTGCATTTTCCACTTCTGGCTCCCGCACATGTCGGGGGCGCCGACTGGCGCGTGGGCAAGGGGGGTAACCCCCTTGTCCATAACCCTGTCGAAAGAAAGGGGCCAGTGCCGGAAGGACCCACTGTGAGCTGGTCATCTGTTTTACAGTTATGCCTGCGGTCTGTGTTCTGAAGTGGCCTGGCACATGCCCTAGTTTGCAAAGGGCAGTTCATGTCCTTTTGGGCAAGTCCTCGCCTTTGTGAGGGTTTTGTAACTTTCTGGCGCCCACAACTGTCGGGTGCGCATATGCGACCTCCGTGAGCCTTCTCTCCTTTCTACTTCTTAGCCCCCACAGGGACAACCGATCTTTCCCCTTCGCTCCGCCTCTCTCACTTCTTCCGACGCATTGCAGTACGCCAAGGGGGAAATCCTCGTGCTCGTCACCGCGCGGGTTCTGCGGGACAACATAGTCGAGAACGGACCAGGACGGCAACCGCTGCTTTCCAGTCCCTCGTGCCTTTTGCCAACAACTTCGAGACAGTGATCGGCGACCCTTTACGGGGGAGTACCTCACCGCAGCAACTGTCTCCGTCTTCTCCACTGGACGCGGACTACCTCAAGGTCGTGACTGTGATATTGGCAGGGCGGGCGAGATAGTGAACATCGACCTACGAGATGGCAGGGGAAACACCCCCGGTATGTCGAAGGTGCCGAAAAGGGCCGAGTTTCCATGGCGGACATGCACGCCAGGACCCAGCATGCATCTTGCATGGGTGCACAGGCACTAAGCTCAAGGATATCAACGACTTTCTCAGGCAAAAGCAGATCGAAGAGG